CATTGGATCTACAGTCCAGACTCTTAAAAACATTGGCAAGAAAAAGGACTCTTGATTCAATCAGATCTGAGCTTAAATCAAAAGGAAATCCGCTCAAATTAATAGGCTTGGTTCTTAATTTAAGCTTAAATCTGATTGAATCAAGAGCATTTTTTCTTGTCGATGTTTTTAAGAGTCTGGACTCTAGATCCAATGTTTTTTTTCCAGTGCTTAAAGAGCTTATTAAGTGCTTAAGGAGCTGATTTCACAGTATTTTTTATAATTTTTTTTCTGATATGGGAAATAGTATAAAAACAGATTTAAAAGTGAGAAAATGCACCGCCTAGTGACGTCATCTGGCGGCATTTCCCATTTAAACACACGTATTTTAGCAGATTAGATCATTCTGTTTGTCATATCCCCTCCAATAATTGTTCAATTCATGAACCAAGGGTATCCTCGTGTTCAGTTCACTCAGTAGTTTCTACTTAAACACGAAATTCATCAAATTTCAGAGCCCTGCAAATCTTTTATTATGTACACATCGAAAAATGCGTCAGAACTTTGATTTACCCCCACTGGAAAAAAAACACATTGGATCTAGAGTCCGGACTATTAAAAACATCGACAATAAAAAATACTCTCGATTCAATCGGATTTTAGCTTAAATCAAGAACCAAGCCTCTTAATTCGAGCGGATTTCCTTTTGATTTAAGCTTAAATCTGATTGAATCGAGAGTATTTTTTCTTGTCAAGTTTTCAAGAGTCTGGACTCTAGATCCAGTGTGTTTTTTTCCAGTGCCGTTCCTGTATGCATCACTTTCGGCCGAAGTAACCGGGGTGCAGGGAATTGAGCGTCGCGTCGTGCTCCGCGTGACGTCACCGGGATTCGCACAGCCCGACGTGACGTGGCGTGGCGTGGGGAGTCGTGTCGTGTAGCGCGGGAGCATGGGCTCGAGACGCGGGGGGCGTGGTGTGGGGGAGGAGGGGGGCTGATATTAACGACCTGTTGATAACAATTAGTCTAAAAGGAAATACAAACGAATGCCTTGCGACAAGAGGAGGCAGGTGAAACGGAGGGGGCCCGCGTCGCCGTGCCGTGCGGGTTGTCGAACTTTCAAGCGCGCGCCGACACCGCCACGCCGCGCCGCACAATGGATCGAGTCGATCGGGAGGTCGGACAAAATGTAGAAATTTTGAAAGCTTTTAACTCCGTTCATACAAAATTTTGAGGTCTTAATAGTCAGGGTTACCACAGTCAGGGAAAACCGGGAAATGTCAGGGAATTATAAAAAGTCAGGGAAAACCGGGAAATGTCAGGGAAAATTTGTTAAATCACCTTCATTTGCTTTCTAGAATGGGTTCGAGATTTTGAACAAGAAATTTTGCCCGAAAACTATTTTCAATTATGTCTTCTTAACCATCCGTCACATCTTGAATTGTCAGGGAAATCAGAGAAATGTCAGGGAATTTCGTTTTCTAAATTCTTTGGCAACCCTGGATAGTGTTTCCATTGGTTTCCTCATGAAATTGTCTGCTCTAAGCACCCCTTAAAATTTACAATGTGACGAATTAAACATCAAAATTTGCAGTTTTGGTGAAAAATTGCATGTCCGACCTCCGTAATTGACAAAATGTGACGAATTAAACATCAAAATTTGCAGTTTTAGTGAAAAATTGCGTGTCCGACCTCTCTAATTAACTCGATGTACTGTGCGCTGATCCCACGTTGTCGCCCCGCGCTCGCCTTTGTTTTCATTCATACTTGGCGACCGACCAGAGGTATGCTAGTGGCCTCCCAGCTTTGTTCCAACCGCGGGATAAAAAGAGCGCTTTCCGCGCTTCTGAGACGGTTTCGACGCGGAGAATGGGGGATCGTGTACCGCGTCGAATTTGTTTAAGGGTTGCCCCTGAATTTCACGCTCTAGGGTGAAAGGGGGGGGGGTCGAGGGGAGCGTCACGCAGGATGGCTAAGCGATCGCGAAAATCGGGAAAATTCAGGGAATTTTTCTTCTGAATTTTTACATTTTTCTATTCAACACAAATAGATTGCTATTTGCCGGTGAGCACTAACTCGTCGTTTTCCGTACAGAGGAACGTAACTTCATCCCAAGGTTGAAAATTGACTCGAGCATTTTAATTTTTTACAATCATATACCGGTGCATTTTTTTAAAGTTTTTCTGGTTTTAGCATGAGATCAGAAGAAACGTCAGTAAAATTTTTAGTTAGACAAGCCCAGGGTTCTTCTGGTCATAATGCAATTTTCGATGCGAAATGGCTACATTGAAATGTAGTACGTGCTTTTATGAAAGAAACGACGAATTGTCTGCATTGATTTTAAAAAAATCTATAATTTTGCGTTAACATATCTAAAAACCCAGAGGAATACATTCTGGACGAAAGCTAACGGTCGAGAGAAAAAGTTTCCGATTTCCTGTAATACTTCTCTGTGTTCTTTCCTAATTTTTTTTTAAAAGATAGTTTTGGCAACCCGAAGCGAGCTGTGCCAATCACGTTGGACGGTGAGCGGACGGATCTTGGCGCGGCCCCGCGCAGGAAGTGTCTATCCTTGTCCGCGGCCGCTTCCTCTTATTGTCTGCGTCTGCGAGAAATCATAATTTTCGTCCGGAAAATGAGCTCATCCCGTCCCGCACCTATTTCCATCCGCACTTTCATTACTTTCTAATAACATCTCCCTCGATTTAACACACCCTCTCCTCCTATCAACCCTTGCGTCTGCTTTTACCCTCTGTCTCGCCGTCGGTCTTTCCGTGAAGTCGGGGAGGTCGTGCGCCTTCATTTAGTTTGATACCATTTGGACCGCGTTTAACAGAAAGGAACCATGCCACATCAGCTATTGCGAAACTTAATGGGGCAATTTGATTTCTTACATGAAAAAGGTTGTGCGGATTTTCGTGCAAATTTGTCTTAATTTTCTCCACAGTACGAAGCAAATTCCTTAAGAATTTCAAAAGAATCCGCACAAACGTTCTCTTGTGAAAAAGCGAATTGGCGGATTAAATTTGGCAATAGCTGATGTGGCTTGGTCCCTTTCTGTTCAAAGCGGTCCATTTATCCTACTGCTTGTCCCATTAAATAGTTGATTGTGCTGAAGCTGAGAATACAAAGGGTGAATCTGAGTTTAAAGGGTGCGTTTTAAACTTGAAGTGTCTTAATTTTGTTAATGTAACTCTGTTACAAGGTTTCCGTCCTATCGCCTCTGCTCTTAGGTTATAAGCACAAAATCCCTTGAGGCGGATTCTACCGTGCTGAGGGAAAACGCCGTTGGACTTTCGAATGTTGCCAAATTTCCCCCGACGAAATATCTATTTTCTTGGAAAGTTATACATATTGTTCCTCGACATTTTCAGGTAGTTTGGATTAAATCGCGAATACAATTATCCGAAAAATTTTATACAGCGTATTCACAAGTCGCCCAGAAAATATGTTGTTTTTCGAACGAGATTTGGCAACGTCTAAAGGGTCACACGATGTTTCTCCTCGGCACGTTAGAATTGCTCTTGGTCCAAGTGACAATCATCACATACCTACTTTAATCTGTAGGATGCGACTATTTTAACGTGTAAGATCTATTTTTGCCTATTCTCCCAATTGAAGGCGAACAACAAACGTTGCGCCTCTGGCTGAGGTGCTGCCGTGCTGCAAAGGGCGCTGGAAAAAAAACAGATCCGTCGTAGATTCAACACCCTTTGGAAATTAGTTCATCGAGTATCAAGTCAAAGCGGCTTGATGCTTCGTCATGCATGTTTTGCTCTCTGCTTAATTTGGCGCAGACAAATGAAAGTATTGCTAGCACGCAAGAGACATGTAAATTTTAGCACGTCCATGAAGCGTGGAGCTGAAATGCTGAAAAAGAAACTGTTGCGTCGAACGAGCGGGTGGAGTTTCTAATTCATTAAAGCCACCGAGCAAGGGCAAAGGGCGTTGATTTTTTTCAGCCCCTCCGCTGCTTGAAAAGTGAAGTGGTGCGTGCGTTGTGCTCCACCGGAGAGGTTTAAATAATTCCGCGAAATAGAGCATTTTTACACGCCTTTGTCTCTGCTCCGGGCGAGGCGAGGGGAGAAAAGGAAAACTGGATTTTGTACTCATGAAGTTGCCCCTCTTCTTTTTCCTCTTCTTCCTTTTTTTTTTCATTTTAATAATTGTTGGTGATGTCAATACGTTCACACGCCTGTTAGACGTATTCTTAATAATTACAAATTAGCAATGTTAAGGCCTGGCCCCCTTCAGAATTGAAAATAGTATCATCTGACCTCCCCCCATTTTCTGGATGGTGAGGCAAGACCCTCGTCTACAATGATTATCTGTCTTAATGTAGAGTCTCAATTGAAAACACCGTGTTCATTCACTCAGTATTTTTTAAAAGTTTCATAGTGGACCTCTCACTGGAAAAAAAAAAACACATTGGATCTAGAGTCTAGACTCTTAAAAACATCGACAAGAAAAAGTACTCTTGATTCAATCAGAATCTAGCATAAATCAAGAACCAAGCCTCTTGATTTAAGCGGATTTCGTTTTGATTCAAGCAAAAATCCGATTGAATCAAGAGTATTTTTTCTTGTCAATGTTTTCAAGAGTCTGGACTCTAGATCCAATGTGTTTTTTTTCCAGTGCTAAATGATATTTAAAATTTCCAAAAATTTCCGGATCTATTCAATGCAACATTTCGAAAGTATTCTTTGCTGAAAGTAAAAAAATAAACCAAATTTTTCCGCAGAAATTAATGGACAATCTTTGTCATGGAATCCTCAAAATGCGTCAAAATAGAATTAAAATTCCAAAAATTGTCTAAGGGAGACCCAGACCTTCCGGTTGTAGGGGGGTCAGGCCTCCAAGCAAAATGACCTAGATGCGCCTATGTGCTTGTTACGGATGCGGAAACTGAAAGCTCCACCGGTTGATCCGCAAGTGCGTTGAATTGGACGCGGAATGCGACTTGAAGAACGCGCGACGACTGAACCTTACTGATTGACTAATTGATTGACGCGGGGTTTTTCAGGTGTTGCCGAACGGGAACCTCGTGTTCGCCCCTTTCGGAGCCGAGGACTACCGCCAGGAGGTCCACTCCCAGGTCTACGTCTGCATGGCTCGCAACTCCGTCGGCACCATTCATTCCCGTGACGTCAACGTCCGAGCAGGTGAGAACACTCATTTTTCCTAGTGCATGTTTTCACTAAACTCCTAATACATATCGAGGAAAATTAACTGATTCGACTAGAATCAGTTGAATCGCATTACATTTCCCCTTATTTCCTCCCGTGATATATTTCTTTTAGACACACTGGAAAAAAAACACATTGGATCTAGAATCCAGACTCTTAAAAACATCGACAAGAAAAAGTACTCTTGATTCAATCAGAATCTATCTTAAATCAAGAACCAAGCCTCTTAGTTTAAGCGGATTTCGTTTTGATTCAAGAACAAATCCGATTGAATCAAGAGTAGTTTTCTTGTCAATGTTTTCAAGAGTCTGGACTCAAGATCCAATGTGTTTTTTTTTCTAGTGCACTGATAAAAAACTGCGGCCGGGAAAGCCGCACTTACGGTCTACACCCAGCCAAGGAATTTTGTTAGAACAATCTTAATACTCAAGTGAAAATTCACGGTCATTCTTATGACGCAATTTTATTTCATTTTCCTGCTCTGACGAAAAGTTACAAGCTACAGATACATACCGTCCGCGTTCCGGGCTCAAAGGTCGAAAGTTCCGGGTGTTGCACCCGGAACAGTCGAAGCTACGGATCCAGTACCCAGAACTTTCGGCCCATCAGCCTGGAACTGGCAGTTTGTTGGTATAGTTTTTGATCAGTGCAGGAAAATGAAGCAACATTACGCCTTAAGAATTTCGGTGAATTTCAACTTGAGCATTAAGATTATTCTCACAAAATTTCTCGGCTTAATGTTGTGTAGTTTTTTGTTATGAAGAAATTTAACTTGTGAGAAAATCAGGCAACGTTTGATTAATCAGCCTTTCGTAATGTAACGCAATATCAGAAACTGAAAGCAAAAATTTCGACTTTCTGTATTTGTGTTCTGAAGACCGTTGGTCGTTGAGTTCTCTCGAAGACATTCATTTATGATTTTTTCATATTTTCATGCTATTTTAATTATGAACAGTTTTTATAATTAATTTGATGCCCATTTTGTAATGAACCTAATAGCAAACATTATTTTCCGTATTTAATCAATTTTGCTCTCCTTTTTTTAATTGGAAGTACACATACAGCCAATGAACGATATACAACGACCTAATAGCACACTTACTATCCATACTATATTCTGTGTCCTTAAACCAGGTTGAAAACTTTTGTTTCAAATTCGAAAAGTCTCATAATTTCGTAAAATCTTCATCTAGATGTTTTAGCGTAGACCGTAGGCTCCCCCACCAGGAGATGACATGTTCGGACAGCTAGTAGACGGTATACGAATGTTCAGATATCCCTGAACACCGTATCTCTGTTGTATATCTTTTATGATATCTTTCTGGCGGAGATTCACCGTGAGGGTATATGCGTATCGCCTCTGCATGTGGTCTAAGCCCCCTTTCCACTGGTCAGCCCACAAGACGGTTGGATTGATAACAAATTTTCCGGGGGGCAGGCCCTATTGATAGAGACTCAAAAGAGGCCTCAAGAGGCTCTGCGAGATTCTTTCTGAAATTCCAAACGAGGCTTCCAAATTTTGCAGAAAAGGGCAGGGCCGGATTAAGAGGGTGGTCACATGGACCGCGGCCCGCGGCGGCAAATTTAGGGGGCGGCCAACTTTGTAATTTTTTTAAACGTATGTATAAAAAAATCTGATTCAGAAGAAAAAAATTACAAACGAGAAAAGGCGACAAAATCTATTTTTCCTGTGAGTATAGTAATTGCTAATTTTGTCGTCTTTCGGTGATACAAGAAACTGCACCTTTAATTAGTCGAGTTAATATAGAGAAACCAAACACGCGATTTGGCCTGGAGCGGCGCGGCGCGGCGCAGAGAGGAATGATCATGAGGACTTGAGATGTAAAGGAGAAGCCCTCGGCGCGGCGGTCGGTATGTAACACGTATTAGCGCCTACAAGAGGGCATGAATACTTCACGCATTGCGTCAAACACAGTGCGGTCAACAGCGGTCGGCGTGAAACGCATAGCGCCTACAAGACTGCATGAATACTTCACGCATTGCGTCGAACACAGTGCGGTAAGCGCGAAACGCATAGCGCCTACAAGACTGCACGAATACTTCACGCATTGCATCAAACACAGTGCGGTCAGCAGCGGCTCCGTATCGCCGGATATGAGAAAGAATCTCAATTTCCACGTGAACCCTGTTCTCCGTGTTACTATTTATGCCTTTCGGGGCTCATTTGGAAATGGAGACCCGCCCTTAGATTGAAATAAGGAATCCGTACTTACGGGCTATGTAGACATATCGGCCGCGTTCCGGACTCAGAGGCCGAAAGTTCCGGGCGTAGCATCCGGAGTAGTCGAGGCTCCGGCTCCAGCACCCGGAACTTTCGGCCTCTGAGCCCGGAACGGACGTATGTCTATGTAATCCTCAACTATTCTTTCAGTGTACGTTGGAGGAGCGACGATATTTGCCAAGAAGTAAGACAACGCGGGTGTCGCGGCATTTTCCATCTCTCGACAATTGAGCCACTCAAGCATCTGTCCGCCCGTTCGTCGCGTCGCGTCTTCTCGTTCCATGTTGAGCTTGAGGGTTCTCTCATACCCCGACTCTGTTCAGTGAGTAATGTGCATTCAAATACCGCCGCGCCCGCCCCTTCGAGTCCGGCGGTGATCCGAATCAGACGTTTGAAGGCGGCGAGCAGGGCGTCTGTTCAATCTGAAAAGCCGCTTTCAGCCTTGGGCTCACCCGCTCAGCATCGGGATCAGTTTACTAATCGGAGCTTCTTGACGCTGTGCCTCTTCATCAGCCTACCAGTGGTGTGGCGTGAACTGCGATATATCGATTGTTATGCCATTTAAACCTATGTAAAAGGATCGATAAACGGGGTGTTCGCAGCGAACACCTTAATAATCGATTCTTTACCATAGGATTAAATGACATAACAATCGATATATCGCAAAGCACGCCACGCTACTGCAGCCTCCGATCGTCGTTTCCTCCACGAAAGAGCGTAACTCTTTCCGATAATGCTTAATTTCCTCTCGCAAATTGCATTTTTACCATGGGAATTTTGGGCGTTCCGAACTGAAAATTTTGTTCAGTTTTCTTCAGATCCTGCGCAAAAATTCGAGAAATTTTGGAAATTTTCGTCCGGGGAAAGACATAATGAGGTTCAAATTATTTTCCCCCTCTATATATGTATAGAACCGCTGTAATATGTTCTATATATGTATAGAACCACTGTGTCAGGTACTATTTTGAGTTTATTTCACGTGCTCAAATTTTTATTTTAATGAAGAAAAATTTCTCTTGAGTAATATATAAAAAACGTTTCCATTACCTACTTTGAAAGCGTTTTTCCGAATGCCTGACGCTTGTCCCATCGGTAAGAGGGTAAGGCCATCATTCTCATATCGACGGTGAAACTACCACCAGACCACGTATCCCGGTTGGCGACGTTGTAGACTTCTGTCATACTTTATTTTTTAAATGGAATACTACTCAACGTCAATTCTTGAAAATCTCCGTGTTTTTTCCTCTTCATGCGAAGAAAACTCTGTGAAAGTTTCAAGAAATGATATTGGCATTTTCTCCTTCAAAAAAATAAAATGGGAGCGGGGACTTCTAAACACCGCAAACGAGATACGTGGTTTGGTAGTTTCACTGTTGATATTCGCTTTTTTATGACGTTGTCGCGGTGAAGGCAGCAGCGGGACGTCATGCGGACGTCAATGACGTCATACTTCGTCAGTTCCCGTGCTGGAATTTTCGTGAACTTGATCAGCCCTGGAGCTTGCCCAAAATTTATCGAGTGGATCGCCGCATGGGTGCGGAGTGTCGCAAACCAGTCTAGACCAAGCTCGGCGATAATTCAATTTTCTTATTTGAGCCCCGAGGATATTTGATCCTGGCTCAGTCAACTGAGGCATGGAGAGAATTATTCCATTCGCCCTGTGTTGTCAGCCTTCGGGCAGGGACAAAAGAATATGAAGAGCCTCCGCGCACGTTAACTTCATCTTCGTTGAAGACGCTGGGATGATACAATGTAATCTTCTGCATCTTCCTCCTCCTTGAGGGTGCTGAGCCAGGATTTAGAAGTTAAACGTGTGTGCAGCCTTCTTCATTTTTAGACTAAGTTCTCTCGAAAGAAGAAAATTGATTATCACCGAAGAATGGCACGAACAAAATCGCATTTCATTTTATTAATGCAAATTTAAAATTTAAACATGTCTAACTGCAAATTATACCCGATAAATTGAAATATCTTCCTACTCCAACACTAACTCAACGATTTTCAGAAATTTTTGAAATGATCTCCAAACGTTTCACTTCATTAGCATAATTATGTGCAAAGCTAAGCTTTGAAAGATACTGATTTTGACTGTGATTCGATCGAATTTTAATATTTCATATAAAAGCAGGAGTCAATTTGTATTGCATTTTTCAGTTTATACATCTATCATTGGCGAGAATGTCCTTTGTGGCGTACAGATGTATGTTACCACCAAAATTTTACGAGTTTACCTATAAACATACAAAATATAATGGAAATCCGAGTCTCGACTTTGCCCAAAATGTATTCACGAAGTTTCCCTGGCGGCGCACAATGGATCGAGTCGATCAGAGAGGTCGGACATGAAATTTTTAACTAAAACCGCATATTTTGATGTTTATTTCGTCACATTTTAATTTTAAAGGGTGCCTTCAAGAGAAAATTTTTAGGAGGAAACCAATGAAAACGCTTTTAGAACCTCTAAAATTTGTAAAAACGAAGTTATACGCGTTTAAAGTTTCCAAATTTCGTCCGATCTCTCCCATTGACTCAATGCATTGTGCGACGCTGCACTGATTACCATTTGACTACGTGTGATTTATCGATCGCCTTGATCAGTGACGCAGGACATCTGCACTTGACGAGCAATAAATTCAACCTCGGCTCGGACTCTGGTGAGAACTGGCAGCGAGTAAACGCAGCTTAAATTAGAGATGTCCATTAGAGTACCTATGTAGGGAGAGTACGGACAGGG